GTACATGACCTCAACAACAGTAATCGTCAATATTGTACAGTGCAATTTGCCGACGATTCTTCGTTCACTCTGAAGTCTTCAGATTATGAGGGATTGTCGAATCAGGCCAATCAAGTAGTTGCTAATATGCAAAAATATTGTTCTCAAAATGGTCTCATTCTGAACAGCTCAAAAACTAATTCAATCGTCTTTTCACTACATGAGAATGATCGCAGTGTTCTGGTCAAAATAAATGGCTAGTCAATACAACAAACCTCATCTGTAAAATTTTTAGGTTTGAACATAGATGCTCAACTCTCTTGGTACAAGCACATTGATTATATTTTGAGTAAAATGTCGAAACATTGTTTTGTAATTCGTAATCTCCGTAATTTTGTTCCATTGAATATATTGAAGAGCTATTACTATGCTTATATTCAATCTTCATTCAGTTATTGTCTGATCAACTTTGGTAACTGTACAAGAATGAACGAATTAATAATAGCTCAAAACAAGGTAGTGAGAACAATGTGTTTGAAAAAATATGATGACTCATGTAGGGAGCTGTTTACCGATTTGGATATTCTAACTATTATTTCACTACATATATTCAACTGTGTTGTTTATGTCAAAACTCATCTTGACAATTTTGAATCAAGAGAAAATCTTCGACTCGCCACAGGATATATACGTTAAGATCTAACTATAATTTTATTGTTTCCCACCATAAATTGACGAAAGCAGCAACCGGCTCTTTAATTATGCCCATCAAGTTATACAACAAACTATCTATCTCTCTTAAACAGCTATCAAACCTGCATTCCTTAAAAAAAATGTTAATAAACTGTTACATGACAATACATTTTATTCCCTTAATGAATACTTCCAGGCTGATTTGGAAATATTATAAACTTGATTGCAACAGTTTAGACTGTACTATTTTCAATTGTCATATTTTTCAGTTTCATGTTTATAATTATTTGTATTGTGAATTTCTATATTTCAGTTTGATTGACTTTTTCCATGCTGTCGAGTCTCTGAAAATAAACTGATTTGATTTGATTTAACGTTAACATTGAAGAAAGGTCGCATTACAAGGAACAATAGGTACTAATTCAGTTCATCCTGAAACGTTGCTTGGCTATATCTCTTACCAGAATATGAAAACCTTAGAGATTTTCGGAGATCAGTATGAAAACTCTTGAGAATTCTCCAAATTTGAAACTTCCATTCCGGCCAAGAAAAATTTTCAATTGTTGAAGTAGTTGACAATATTGATTCGTTATCAGATAATGTCAAGAAAAACCCAATCATATACTTTTTGAAAATTATTCTGAGGTAATCTTTTTTCATTCTATTCACGTCGGGATTTTCACAATTGTATTTGTGCTTCCTGTTTTTCTCCACAATGGAAACGTCGAAAGCTGCCAAAGAGAAATTGAAAAGTTGTTTGATCCGGACGAAATCCTACCTAAAGCCGTCGAAGAATTGTTGGAGATTTTCCAGCTGTTCTGTTGGATACAATGAACAAGCTACAAGTTTGTGTACTGTGGTTGTGAATTTAGAGATAAATATGTCCCAAAAATGTTTTTATATTTCATAACTGATAGTGAGAAATATGAATAATTGTTATTGTAAATCTCTGAATAATAATGAGCATGACCTAAATGACTCATTTAATTTCAATGGTTACAATTTATCTAAGAACATCATATGATAGGAAGAGATGCTTTCAAAGTTTGAATGATCATCATGGTGTGAATCATTTGTTATCATCCTTACGAATGGAAAATCAATTTCGAAATATATATTTTCATGTGATGGATAGAATTTGACTTCGGTCACTCCCAACGTTCACATTTTATACATTATCATCCTGTGAATCATATCTAATTGAATTCCATTACTTTAATATATTTGAAAATATTTGTTCGCAACTGTTTTATCTTTCATTTCGTATCTGAAAAAAACATGTCTGTCTGATTTCCACATCTCTGTGGACATCTCCATTCATGTAATATTCAATGATTTTCTACCTCCTTTAGGAAGTCGTTCAATTTTTATATAATAATGGAGAATTGGGAAGCCAAAAATGTTCCAACCTCCAATTTTTGGAGTAAAACATTTTTACGCACGCTGAACTTGGGGAGTAAGCTGGTGAATGCGTGACGACAGCGTTACAAGAACTGTGATCGTGCGAGGCGAACGGAAGTTGAGAGGGAGGTATGATTTACTGAAGATAGAAAGAGAGAGTTACGTTTCGTATATTACTGTAGGGGAAAGGGAGAGAGATGCGAGTAGGTCGCATGTCAGTTAGCGGAAATTAAAAATTGGTAGAAAACTTGCTGATTTCGAAAAAGTGATCTTCAGAATATTGATAACTACAAACCTGAATTAATAATTCTCCTTTGGGAAAATTATTGAAATTATCCTTAAAACTACACATCATGAATACTTTTCGTATAATGATTCAATTCAATCGGTTTCATATATTCATCTTTAACTACAAAAGCTCTCAAACTTTGTCAACAGCATATTATGACAAATTTCTGGAGAAGAAAACAAACCGTTTGCGCAACTTGACTGAATCATTCGACTGCATGATGCGTTCTATTTTGAGAAACAAACTAAAAAAATAAGAAATGGAATTTCAATTATATTTGTTTATACTTTTTTGAGATAAAAGACAAGCACTACAGAAGTTCTTAAGGTGCTCTAATAGCGACGCCTGTGCAAAAGTGGTGATTCATATTAGATTTGAATCGCTGGAGATTGAATCCATTTGGAAAAACGTTCTCAGGAAATTAACTCCACATAAACGAAGTTCTCCAAATGGAAGATTTCTTGAACAGTGAAGTTTGAGGTGTACTGAGTTGATCCAAAAAACTATCTGGTGGAACCAAATTTGCCAAGTCACTCGAACACTTTTCGTTAAAGTATCTATAGAAGTTTCCAAGGTTGCAAGTGATGTTCGCGTCTCCGTTTGACCAGTAAACCCTCATGCCATATACGGTCAAAGGCCTTAGAGAAATCAAGCGCAACAGCTCTTGACTCTCCGTGTTTCTCGATTGCGGTATTCCAAGAGACATATTGGTGATCGCTCAAGATGTTGAAGCTTTCCAAATATTTAGGGAAATAGTGGTTTATAGCTTTCTTCATCATTTTTGATATCACTAAAAGCAAAGCGACTGGTCTATAGTAATTTGGGAATGGGAGGAATGCGAGCAATCTTCCAACCAGAAGGAAAAACCATTTTCTTGTAATACGGGTTGAAAAGTCTGCAAAATAATGGAGTGAGTGCATTCGTGCACTCGTAGGACGACGGGCACCTCATCAGGACCAGACACCTTGTTGATATTGAGCTGTTTCAGAATTCGCCTGACTAGACGTTGTCGAAAAGTAATTTCTGGCATTGTGGAGATTTTGGGGTAATTAGGGGGGTTGGGGTGCGTAGCATAAAATACCACTTTGAACGCACCATGAATCATGAATAGTTTCGACTCATATATATATATATATATACCCTTGCGGGTTG